CACACACTCACTCTCTCTCACACACACACACACACACACTCACACGCACACGCACTCGCTCTCGCACACACGCACACTTAACACACACTTAACACACTCACACACACTCACTCACACATACTTACACACACTTAACACACACTCACTTACACACACACACACACACTCACACACACTCACACACACTCACACACACTCACACACACTCACACACACTCACACACACTCACACACACTCACACACACTCACACACTCACATAGTCACAGAGAGAGAGAGAGTCTGACCATAACAGAACCAATGACCAGTGATGCAGCATATGAAAACATTTTAACCAAAACACTTCTACAGTTACTTCGTTCAGGATCTATGATTATGAACATGCTTTTTTTTACAGGAGGATAATCAAGTAATACAGTGAGTATGAAAGCTATAAAAGGTCTCTACAATAACACACACCCTGAACACAGCTTGCAGTAACGAGGGCTGTAGTGGTCAGGATTCTGAAGGATCACAAACACAGCCATCAAAGCAGACACTACAGGTCAGCTAAAAAAACTACAAATCTAATATGTCTAAATTTAATTTCCTTTCTAGGCTTGCAAAGCTCGTCTGAGTCTGTCTGGACATCACAATTCTAGTTTCTATTTACTACTACATTGTTTTGTATTTGAGTGCTTATTTTATATTACTTTGTGATATTCCTCGTTTGTGAACACAATAATAAGCTCCGTGATGATGTGGTTCTTCACTTTAACTCTGCTTTCATGAGATATGCTTTCCACAAACACTCCACGCCACCCGGGAACTAGTGCTGAACGCGAAAGCTTCCTCACCTTCGAGACTCATGATGAAGACGGCCAGCAGAGCGTCGGGTGCGCGTCTGCGTCGCGTCGGTGCTCCGCTGCTGTCGGTGTCGGTGTCGGTCTCCGGTGATCCGGCCATGTTTGCGCCTTTACGCACTGCCATTATTCTCTTCCCCGACACGCGCACAACTAACTGAGATGAGATCGCTGCTCGCTGTATTCCGGTAAGAGC